GACAAGATACATACCTTTCATAATCATCCCACTCATGCTGTTCGGTACGTACACGTCCGGCGTCTCGTTAGTGTGGCTGACCTCCCTCAAACGATTTTCCAAAGGCTCCTTCGCAGTAAACGCGGGTGCCCACGTAAGTGACCTCTCACCAGACAGGAGAAGGGTGACAAACACCTCGTTGGTTTTAGACTTGTAAAACAGTACTCTACGTTCTCGTCGGTAAGCAGCATACCGCTCTATTAGGCGTCTCGTTTCACTGACTACGTTTGCGCAGTGCTCGAGGTAGTTGCTATTACTCTCTCTGAGGGTGCGTGACATATATTGGTAATCTCTCAATCTGAGCGCTGGTATTCCAGTGATCTTTGGCCTCCGAGCGTACGCTATGTGGAATCGGGATAAGGCAGTCGTTGTGATATACTGCTGTGTTGCTATAGTAAGGCCGCAACCCTCTCCTTGAACCTCTGGGCCTTTCCTTTGACTTTTGCCGCTCAGGTCTCTGTAGGGGCCACAGTATTCATGCTTTACTCTTTTTTGCCTTCTGTTACATGTGAGCACGTTCCATGTGACGACCCCTCCCAGAGCTGATATTATGTAGTTGGGGAATCCCCAATTGCAATAATTTCTGGGTGTACCAAGACGGGCGGTAGTTCCGTCATTTTCGCAGGTTTCGTGGCTATCATGCTCGTTGAAGCAGGTACGCCAATATTAATATTTTGTGCAACGTGCACCAACGCTGACCTGTCCTTGTTCTCAGTGACCACCGCCCTCGTATTATCTCGTGCATACCGCCATTTCCGGCACATCCCAAATGCCCTGGTCCAAAACATGACCCGTGATGGGGTATTTTATTGCATGACCATGTTCAGTGCGTGTTCGCGATCACCTCGTACCTGAGCAGCTGAAACGATTCCCTGTTCAGGCATGTCGGTCGCAAATTTCCTCCTCATCTTCCTTAATCCCGTTCGTCTTTCCGCTCTGCTTTTCTTTCTGTTGCCTCACCCGTATTCCCAGATCTACGCTGACATTATCATTCTGTGAGTTCCCCGATTTCTTTGACTGTAGTATCCGCACCCTCGACCTATAATATTTGACTTATACGTCTGCTCCCAGATACCAAACGATAACGCATACCATCCTCGCGACGTGGATGCAACTCCACCTCCGCAAAGTCGATCAGCACACATACCTGGACAGATTTGCAGAAGAATCTCTGGCGCCGATGTCGTTCATGAGGTCCACCTTCCTAGCCGACATATAGAGTAGGGTGTGTCCGCTGGTGGGTGATACTGGGAAGAACCAAATGAGTATCGAATTTCTTGGATAACTTGTCAGGAGTGAAAGTTGGTTGGCTAGTCCATGGTTGTTCCAGTAAGGAATGCAACCTCGTCTGCTGGAACCAGCCTTTGCTAGCGTCCAAAATGGCTTCTCCAGGTCCTCGTTGCAACAGGCTATCTCCAGAATAGGGGGTAGGGTCGAACTGCGTTGGCAGTCAGCTTGTTTACTGTGCTGCGTGCCAGTGAAGTTGTGTGTCCAGACCGTGACATC